GCCAATGAAGTCAGGGCGGCGGAGAAGATGAAGATCTCCGTCAACGAGATCGACGGGAAGGAAACAGTGCGCAAAGGTGGCTCTCGCCTATGCGAGGCTCTCACCCAACGATCTGAAAGCGATAGGAAGGAAACAGTGCGTCGCGGTGGTTACCACCTCGACGAGACTCTCACCTATCGATTCCGAGGCTGCGAGAAGGAGGAGTTCGTCGTTGGCGTTCAGCTCAAGAAAGCGTTCACGGTTGGAGTACAAACCGTGAAAGACGAAGCGACTATTGGCAGCATGGAAGTTTTGGTGCCGCGCGAAGGGGTGCCATTCAAAATTGAGTCACCACCACTCGATTTGCTGGTTGGGGATGGAAATTGTGAGAAAGGGACATCCACGGAAGGCGGGGGTTCTGTTGGGAAAATTTATCCTCCAATAATTGGAGGGCATGCTCTTCCTTTGGACCAAGACGAGGATGATTGTGATGGGCTTCTGTTTTCAAGGTCTTGGCCACTCAAGAGAGGAGAAGCAATCGTCCTGGACAATGATGCCCAAGCTGCGTGGCCGCGAGTTCCGGCCAAGGTGAGGAAGAGGAATAGAGGTCGGACAAGGAGCTGGAAGTTTCGAAAGCATCCTAAGACTCAACGTCGTCGCAAGCGTTGCGGTTGCTTTCGTCGCCGACCGCCGCGTCTCGGCATGGACCGAACCTTGGAGACCAAGGTTCTTTGAGGGGGAAGGAATGATAGGATAGTGGTTTGGGCTTTTGGTTAGTACGGTAATGTGTTAGGGTTAATTATGGGTCTAATTGCTTAGGGTTAGTAGGTAGGGTATTAGTCTATGTGCATGGGCCGAGTATGCATTAGAGTTGGATGCCAAGTTGGAGTCGTACGTAGTTGAGCGGGTAGGTTTAGTGACTTATATAAAGATGTAACTACGACATTAGTTCGGGAAAATCAATAATAAACCTAAAACAGTCTTTCGACACTTTACGTCGTACTCTCGCTTGTGAGTTACAAGCAAACCCTAACCCGATAGCAACAGGTTGCTATCACAATAGAGATAAGAAATTGTTGAAGAACGTACATGAAGAGAATCATATGACCATGGTTTATGCCATGGAGGCGAGGATTCGGCAGGCGACTTATTTAATTAGAGGCGAAGATAGGCAGTGAAGAAAGTAAAGCCGAGTAAGAGATTGTTACCGGATGGACGTTAGCTAGGCTTCAAATCCAATCAAAGGGGTGAAAATGGTCTTCTAACGTACGTAACCAGGTTGATTGCATGAGTCGATGGATGGACAAGATTGGCCTTTTCGTTTTCTTCATAACTTTGGACTTTAGTTTGATAACCCAAAGAAAACAAGGCCGGAGTTAGAACGTATCGTTTCAGAATTATGAGCCCACTACGAAGACACGTTGGGCCGGTGTTGAGAGCCCAATATCAAATGAAGCCTAAAAAAGATTTTTTTTTGTCGGAAACAGGAGCGCTTAAAGGGCGCCCCAACCTCTATGCATTAATAAAGCGGGGGGTTTCCACCCCAATTCTGTCAAAGTACAGCCAGTAAGCTAGAGAGCTCGTGGGAGCATCAATGATATGGACACCTACTCAGTGACGGACCCAGGATTTTCGTAAAGGTGAGTGAGTGTCGTTCGATAAAATTAAATAAACTAATATATAAATTTTAATTATATTTTACTGTGAAACACAATGAGAAGTGGGATCGAAAGAGGTAAAGGGAACACTAGGTTTTTTTATAAGAAAGACAATAATAAAGAGCAGTAGTCCATATGCAACCAGAGTCTCGATGAAAGAACATTTTTTGCACTAGGTGGACAACTATGTGAAAGCTACAAGGATAAAAAAAAGAAACAAAACTTATTCAGGTAGAGAGAAAAGGGAGAAAACTTCCTTACGATTACCCCTGCCTAAGACCTAAGGGCAATAAATTATTGCATTTAAATGCTTAAGCAATGGAAAGAAACCCAAATTTGTCATAAGTTAACTAAAATTTCAAATAAATAATATATATTTACGTATTTTAGGAACTTTATGACACTAATTTCATCATAGTGTATTGAAGTGTGGCGATTACAATTATTGACAGTGTGTCGAAAGTCCTAAATTCCAAAAAATTGTACAGACAAAACATAGGTCTTTCACAAAATATTCGGGCGGAGGTGTGTCAAGCGACACACCTCCCTATCACATGGGTCCGCCCCTGCACCTACGGTGTAGCTATGGCCGATGGAAGCCAAATAGTCAGCAACATAGTTTTCCTCTATGTAAACGTGCTCTAGCCGAACCTGCCAAGGATACTGAAGCCAACGTCGTATCTCGGCAATGGCTACAAAGTGAGGATGCTGATGTGAAGCCGTCTCGATGAGGGTCTTTGCTATAAGCGAGTCAGTCTGTAAAATTACCTACCTAGCCCCTAGTTCTCAGGTAAGTTTCAGTCCGTGCACAATCTCAGTCAGCTCTGCACGGGTTATGGAAACCCCTCCCAGGTTCGCGGTAAAAGCTCCGATAAAACGACCATCGCCTCCCCTAACGATGCCACCAGCTGCCGTGCTAGAAGGAGAGTGAATAACCGAACCATCAGTGTTCATGCATACCTAGTCCTGTGGTGGTGACTGCCAGCAGATCGATCGTCTCTCTTGAGGTCCCCCTCCCCCAAACGTGGTGGTCTCCTTCGCGAAAGCAGCAAGGTCTGCTGCTTTAGCTGTTTCGTATGGAACTGGATTTGTGCAGGGGACTTTAACTCACCTTGGAACACGTGGCCATTCCGGTTTTTTCATAGAAGCCAAGCTGTGCAAGTGAAGAGGGTGCTATCCACTACAGTACTGCGTCTTGCAATATAATGAAATAACCATTGACGCAAGGGTTGGTCGAAGAAGTCCGCATAAGGTTTGGAATCCAGCAGGTCAACCCACGTCGCTCTAGCCATCGGAAAATGTGAAAATAATAAGTGGACAATAGTTTTCGGTCCAAAATTTTATGGGCCATATAACACAGTATTATTGTTGGGTTTTGGGTCCAATGTTCCCACTTATAACACAGGTAATTGATATCACTTGCATTGAAGTTCTTCTATTTATTACAATATTTAAGAAACTAACATCTATGTTTTATATGAGATAAGTGGTGGAAATGGTTTGGCATTGATGCTCCAAATATTCAGAAGTTGGCTATTCGAATTCTTAGCCAAACTGTTGCTTCTTCTGGTTGTGAACGTAATTGGAGTGTCTTTGAACGTGTGCTTACCAACAGAAGAAACAGATTGCAGCATAAAGTGCTTAGTAACTTGGTGTTTGTGAATTACAACTTGCGATTGCAGAATAGGTAATGATTTGAATTATAGAACTTGTGTGTTGAATTCATACTTTCTATGCTTACTATTGAATTGAATTATTTTATGTTTTCTACTTTGATTAGAGAGTATTATACCAAGAACAAAAAAGAATCATATGATCCCATAAGCCTTGAAAGCATTGATTCTACTTTTACTAGTCACCGGTTGTCAAAAGGGGAAGAAGGTTCATCTTCTAGGGAAAAAGAATTGGATATTGACGAGCTGGATCGAGCATTAGAAGAGGAATGTTTGTTTGTAAATCAATTATGTATGATATGAATTCTAATACTAATAATTGATAATAATTCTTACTTGTTTTCTCTTGTATTGTAGTTGGTGATGAAGAAGATGAAGGGGACGACTTGCAGAATGTAGACTTATCTACATTTGGTGTTGTTTGACGATATGAAACGTTGTTTGTGAACGTTGTAGTGTTTGCTAGTTTGTGTTTGTGGTAGTTGTGAACTTGTGGTTTGAGAATGTTGTTTGGTTTGAGAATGTTGTTTGAACTTGTAGTTTAAGAATGTTGTTTGGTTGTTTTGTACTCGATCTTAAACATGCATTTGAACGATTATGTAGTTAATTCAGTAATGTTGCAGTTTGTTGATTTTTATATTAAATAGGTTTAATACACTTGTATATTCAAAACTTTCACGGTTGCCCATTTGGTGGTGAAAAAAACTCTTTCGTTGTTCCCTTCGTTAATAGTGTTCGATTTTATTTCCAGACTATTTTTGGCTATGTGACTCTTGATATCTAACTGTTTTCTTGACAATACGAGTGTTCTTTTGGAAAAAGAATAAAATTTAAAATGAATGATAAGTACTTTTAACAATATGTTTCAACCACCACCCGGGGCAATCCACTATATTGCACCCAAATAATCCAGCATAAAGATCCCAAACCCCTTCAGAATCTAGTGCATAAACACTGTATTTTCTTTTTCTCAGAAGATAATCATATATATTGATTTGAACAATAAATCACTACATCCTGGAATTTAACCAGACCAACAAATAAAAAAAATGGCACGTAGTCGGGTACAATGAAATGGACTTTCTAGCCATTAAATGGACTACCCTACTACTACTCTGACCTACAAATCGAACATTAAGCCCAATGTGAATTGCGAAATTACGCACGACCTCCTCGAAGATGGCCCCTATCCGATTATATCGGGTATCAGCCTGATTAATTTTATCACGTTCACATCTCCTTCGAACCTCGTCTCCGTAAACCTGTTCTCCAGACACCAGAAAATAACCTCTCGAAAAACGAGCAGTTCGACAACCATAGGATCATCAATATCAGCAATCGACACCCCTTTAGCCTAGGGGTGGATTTTCGGTTATTTCGGTTATAACCGGTAACCGAACATTCGATTATCGGTTAACCGAAAGGCCGGACCCCAACCGACCGAAATAGACTTTGGTTATATCTCGGTTATCCGCACCTCCTCCAGGACCAAAATCATCTCGTCAAGCTTCCGATAACCGACCAAATTTCGGTTATATCGGTTACCAGTTAGTGGATAACCGGCCGGTTAAACGTAAACCGAGAACCGAACCTCCACCCCTACTTTAGCCAATAGAACCCTCCCTCCTTGGTTCATAATAATCATTCCCAGTGCATAAACACTGTAACCTAGAACTCCAAGAGAAATATATTTTTATGTGTAGGCAATACTATAATTGATTGAAGGAACCTTACTCTTAACAAGATATTAAGAAAGGAAACGATCCAAATAATTCCAGTTACAATCTCTCCCCCCATCTCTGGTGCTGGATAAACAACCTTTGCTGTATTACTCTCAAAAGGAAAGAACGATGTACAACGTTGTTGAGCTAATCAACCTTCCCTTCTTCTCTTGTTTTCCCACTTGCTTTTGCTGTTCACAGCAGTGTTCTTCCTCTATATAGAAATCTATACACAAACAGAAACCAAGAAAACTAAAACAACAAAAGTAAACAGGACCAAGCCTTTTGTCCTGTGATTGGGATGCAAACTGAAAAATCACACCTTCCCACAAAGTAAAAAAGAAACAAAATGCTATTCAATAGAAAATCAGCCAGTTTCAAGTTTCTCCCTTAAAAGGAAGCAACCAACTGTTGATCATCATCATCACCATCATGGCTCTGTGATTGCTCTTCCAAAGCCAACAACTTTGCAAAAACTCCAACCAATGGAGCTGTATTATAAGTGCAGGCCTCAGTCTGCATGAAATTCTCTCTACTATCAACAAACTTGTCCTCAAAATCAGGCCCTCCAACCAGTGCCCCAACCAACAAGTTAGGGTTTGGATCTTGCCTGCCATACCAATTATCATACCCTTGTGTGCACCCAATGAACCCTTTGTTCTCTCTGTAAGAGACGATCGAGGCGCCCCTATGGTGAACCCTTTTTGGGTAATTAGAACCATAACCCACCATGTAGCTCATGTTCATAGGGTTCGAACCCAGGATGTAGTCGACTTGGGACTTGGCGAATCGAAGGAGCTCTTCGTGCCTTACTGTCCCTTCACGACAATTGAGGTTTTGATTTGATTCTCGAAGGAAATCGGAATAGAATGTAAGGAGGAATGCAGCTGTAGAGACATGCTGCATGTTGTTCCATTCTCTTATGTATATGAGGCCGCCTGGGGTGTGAACTACGTTGGTGTTGTTGCTGTTGTGCTTGTTGAGGATTGAACATAGGTAGAACTCTGCCTTTGATCTGTATTGTAAGAGTGTTTGGCTGTGTTGTTTGTGCTTTGCTTCTCCAAGCAACTGCAAATAGTTTTGAAGTAATGGAAATGTTATGTACGTGGATATCTGTTCATTGTGTTTCAATATTCAGTAGTCGGCAACTTTTTTCAATTATCTCTACCAAACAGAAAGCTTGTGACAAGAGATTTTCAAGCCAGACACCAATCCTAATGAAATTATTGCTAGCTCATCAAGTAGTGGGAACCACAAGCAAGCAAAAAGTGGGAGCCACTTCAGAAGGAAAGAACCAGACAAGGGTTGAAAAATCACCACCACAGCTCCTCTTTCTGCTGCAAAACCCATATGCTAGCTACAGGCAACTGCTATAGCATGCTTTCTACCTCTTCCCCCACAAATTTCTCCTCTTTTATGGGAAGAATAGCAGTCAAGTCAAGGCACAGATCACTGGTTAAGGTGAAAAACTTTACCCCTCTCCCCTCACTAGTTCCATGCCATGTGGCACTACTTTGAGCAAGAAGCCAAGACCCAATCAAAAGGTCAAAAGTAACTGCCCCAGTACCATTGCCATAGCCTTCCAAAGGCCAAAGCACACCACATATCATCTTACACTTTGCACATGGTTTTATGCTCCAAGATAAGAAAATGTCATATTCATTTCAATGTTGAAAAACAACTATTTGTTTATTAAACTTCCCCCCCTCTATTCCTTAATTAGAGCTTACTCCATCAATCACCTTTATAAAACAAAGGAAACTTTACCATCTTGTGGGTTCAAAACTACAACACAACACACATGACACAACAACATTATAATTTCATCTTTGAATGCAGTGCAAAAGTGAAATCTCAACCAAGATTTGAGTAAGGGAGTCTCTTTCTAACTCTACTACAAGTCTACATCCCCTTCCTTCCCCCCAAGCAGAAAATGTGCCCACCTTAGCATTTTTCAATGAAAGGGACTCTCGTAAGAAAAGGCAAAAGACAAAGGAAGCTTTACCTTTGAAGCCATGATTTGAATTCCAGCATATTTAACATCCCAACTGAACTCTGTTATGGCCCAACCAATCCCTCCAAAGCCATGAGCATTCTCAATCACATACTTCAAATACTTCTCATTGTCGGTGGCTCTGTACAGCCACATAGCACCCCACAGTAGCTCGTCCATGAACCCACTCACTGAAGTGTAGTAACCCTTCACTACTCCCAAACTCGAATCGTATTTGCCTCTGTACTTGTCCCCAAACTCGAACAACTGGTACAATAGAAGAAAACAAGCCCAAAACTTTCGTCATTTTAGTTGAGCTCAAGACAAGAAATTAGAACTGCTTTCTCTAAGGGGAATTTGATCGAGCACCTGCTGAGCATGGTGCAAGAGCAAGTGTGAGTAATGTCGGTTGGTGGATTTGAACACCATCGACGCGGCGGCCATCGCCGCTGCTGTTTCTCCGGCGAGATCCGACCCGGGATTGTTCTCATCGATCCGATAAGCTCGCCGTGACGTCGTCATGTCCTCCGGCCTCTGCCAGCAGTAATGGTCGGTGTCCCCGTCGCCCACCTGTAGTAAAAAAAGGGTTTCAGTTACCGCAACGGTAAAAAAAATGTTCAAACTTTCACCTTAAAAACTGTCCTTTTCCTACAAAAGGAAAGTAAGTAAGTAAGAAAAAAAAAAACCCCCATTGACCGTACCTCTGCCCAGAGAACATTCGGACTAGTGTGAGCCTTGATGAAATAATCAGTCCCCCATTTGATAGCTTCCAGCGCGTGCTCCAATTCGCCGGCGGCGGCGATCTGTTGCCGGGACTCGAGAACACCCCACGACAGCATTGTGACGGTGAAGGCCATCGGGAGGCCGAACTTCACGTGGTCGCCGGCGTCGTAATACCCTCCGACCAAATCCACCTGTACGAAAATAAATTAAAAACAGAGCATTCCAATCAAAACTCAAAACCCACAAGAAAAAAAAAACTAAAACAGAGCTTTTAGTGTTTCATTTGTACTGACGCCCTGCTCCAAGCCGTCGGTGAGGCCGGAATGGTCGCGCCAGGAGATTCTCTGGTTGTACGGCAAGCGGCCGGAGCGCTGGGACTCGAAGTACAGGAGGCTCTTCGTCAATGCGTCGGCGTAGTCGAAAGCCAGAGACTTGGGGGTGAAAAATGTGAGGAGAGTGAAGAAGAATAGAGCTATGCGGTTTTCCATGGCGGGTTTTGGTTCTTTTTCTCCCGCCTTCTTCGCTGTGGAAGAGGGGAGAGAAGAAGAAACAGGGGAGAAAAGGAAGCAGAAGAAAGGGCAGAGCGGTGTGGAGTATGTGCAGTGTTGATTTGAGCTCTTTTTATTTGAAATTGATTTGATTATTCATTTTATTTTGAATTGATTTCAATTTTTTTCCAGCAATGAAATGAATTTAATTGAATTTGGGAAGGAGAAAATTGGCTGACTTAATTCTCATTTACTGAGGTTGTTATGTTTGCGGGCATGGAGATAAAGCCGAGCATGTGAGATTCACATGAGAAGGAGGAACTGGTTTTTTGTTTTGGCCTTTCGATTTCATTTTCATGGGTCTCTTTTTTTCTTTAACTTTTCTTTGGGTTTTCATTTGCTTTGAACTTGGAATTGGTGGGAGTTTTGTTTGATTGCTTATTAGTGATGCCGTGATTTATGCAACAGTTTACTGCTTTTTGTTTGTGTTTGTTTGGGGGAGAACGACATTAATGGACCAATAAATACCGGGTTCGTGGCCTTTTCTCATGGAATATGATTATAAGTCTATCTAGTAAAACTAGGACTGATAAACGGTTCTTCTATTAGTGGTGTAACAGATAATCGAATTGTAAATAGTGGTTAATATTTACATCAATAATCGATTAAGCAGTAAATGATTTGTTTATGGTAGTTAAATTTAGCTAATCACATTATCCACTGCGAAAACAGTATGTAAACCAACAAGGTAATGAATGCCATCGACTAGCAAGATCAGTGGCGTGGCGGAGGCAGCATTTTTAACCACCCCTGTTCTCTTTTCATAACTTAAATATATAAGTATTTAATTGAGAATTATTTAATAGAAAATCAAATTTATTATATCCAAATAATTCATTCATAGATTAAAATAACCAACTTTACAATCATAGTTTTCAGAAACAACCACGAAGGGATTTCATATTGTGAAAGAAACGCAAAAATATTCGTTGACTACACTCTACACTATTAAATAAGTCTCTTTCAATATATCTCACTAAACACGCATTAGCAAACTGGTCGCTAAATCGACTTGAAAACTTGTTCTTAATGTAGCTCAAAGCTGAAAATGCACTTTTTACACTTGTATTTGTAATTAGTAGAATCAAAACTAGTGGAATTGTCGTTGTCCCTAGACAAATTCAGGGTTGTAGGGGAAAAGATCGAATACGCATAAAGAGATAAAGAGATCCAATTAGCTCTTTATTGCAATTGGAATTTTGTTTATAGTATAATAAATTAATTTTATATCTTGAACAAATAATGAGTTGTGTTGTAGTGACAAAATACTCTAATACTACCTATCAGAGTATCAGTATTGTGTTCCATCACCAATATAAATATATATATAGCGTATTTTTGTTCCTCCGAAATTTACTCCTATCCCGGGACAAGGCCAAGGACATGCCTCCGCCAATGAGCAAGATAGCACGAATACTTGTTTTCAGAATCTCTGGATAATTCATGCATGTTGATGATCGCTCCTATTAGTGATCTGGAGCAAATTAACTGCACAATTTGAGTCAATTGGGACTCTACCAAGTCAATGGCCAACATATATACCATGCCAACTGGAGGCGGGCTAATATTAGGCGATTAGAGGGTCTTTTAGTCACATGACTAAATCAATCTCAGTCATTAATCTCATTAAAATCTAATGGTTCATATCTATCTAGTTTAATGAAGGATACTGTGATAATTACATAATTAATTTATTTAACAATTTAAAAAAACATAGCTCTCTTCTCCCCCGTCGCGCGACCGTTACTTTTTCTGAGGAATTCTCCCGGCGGCGGGATTTTTGTGTCCCCAACCCGCGCTGCCATTCCTTTTCCAAGGGAATTCTTCTGCCGGTGGGATTTTGTGTCCCCAACAAGCTTTTGTGCCCTCCAACAACTACGGCCAGAGAGATTTTTTGTTGGCCAGAGGAAACTTTCCGGTGACCATCGACGGAGGAGAGGATTTTCCGGCGATAGTGTTGGATTTGTGATGTTTGTTGACCTATTTTGTAATGTTTGTATCGATTCGGTTTGTAATGTTTGTCATTTTTTTAGTGACATTTTGTAAGATTAGTATGTTTCGTACTGTTTGTCGGTTTATTTTGTAATGTTTGTAAGCTTTGTTATTTTGTAATGTTTGTCGGTTTCTTTTGTTATATTTGTAAGCTTTGTTAATTTTGTCCATAATTTTATCATTTTTTTCAACCATGTTTGTAATGTTTTTTTATGTCTAAAAAACAACCTGGTTGACTTTTGGATGAAACTCCCCTATATAGGGATGAAGCCTCCAAAGTCAACCCGAGTGTTTTTCCAGTTTGTATGTTTTGTCGGTCTAGTTTGTCATTTTTGTTCACCATGTTCGTAATGATTGTATGTCTAAAAAACAACCGGGTTGACTTTGGGAGGGGGCCCCTCTATATAGGGATGGAGCCCCAAAGTCAACCTGGTTGTTTTTTCTTTTTGTATGGTTTGTATTGTTTGTTGGTGTAGTTTGTATTGTTTGTACAGTTCATATGTTTGTAATGTTTGTAAATCTGTTTGTATGTTTTGTCGTTATAGTTTGTATTGTTAGTAAGTACGATTTGTATACTTTGTAATTTTTCATAATACCCAAATTACTCCTCTCACTAATTGAAAATACCTTCCCACTTTTTAACCATTGGATTGAAATGTCCAGATCTAATGGCTAAGAGTGGCTTAGTCAAGTGACTAAGGACCCCCCTTAGTCATGGGATCTGCTCTTAACTGGAGGCATTCAACAGCTCCTTTAAACTCTGCCCGAGTAATGGAGTAACTACCCATGTTCATTAAAAATGTCGCAAGACAACATCTGCGGTGGTCTCTAATCAGGCCACATGGTGGTACTCATTACAATTAATCTAGTCAAAATCCCGATTTTACGATCTTTCCAATGAGTTTTGATCCTGATTTTACTATAAAATCTTTGAACCTTAAAACCCCATAAAATCCTGATTTAAAACTGTAAAATCCTTAAAATCTATAATTTTTAGGATTTTGTACGATTTCAAGGTTCATGTCAATTGAAGCAAAATCATGCAGGTCAAGTTAGGTTTTTTCCATGAACTTGGTCAAGTTCACTTCCCCCATCTCAATACCATGAACAACATAACCTTAAACCGATAGGTGAGCCTCAATTTATGTTTGTTTTCTTCCTCTTCCGCATGCTGAAACCCAACCTCTTCTATCAATGATTTCCTTGATAAAGCACCCGGAGAAGGGGGGGGGGTGCTTTTGATCAGAATACGCAGCAAACTCTCGAAGGATAAGTGATGGATAGGTAGAATTTTGCCACAATCAAGGTGATTACTTGATTGATAAGAAACTTTTAAAACGAATCCGGAATCCTCACAGAAAAGCTTGACAAGGATTCTCCAATTAGCAATGGAATCCACACAAAACTAACTGAAGGATTAGATTCTTGAGAACTCTCAAAGAACACAATTCTCACAAAGGAGCAATTTTCATTCAACTAAAACTTGGATGATTTACAACGTGAAATTGATAGCTATTTAAAGACAATAAAAACCTAATACAAACCTAATAGAACTAGGAAACAATTATGGTAAAAACAAACTCTAAAAAGGACTCAAAAGTCGGCCATAAAACTCTCTTTCTTCAAGCACAAGCAAGCTGCCTTTTAGCACAAGCAAACTGTCCAAAAACAGTTTTTGTACTAACTTCGTGCCATTCGTTCAATGCCTTCCAGAACTCCAATTCCATCTCTTTGTTCACAAACATACCTAGTTTCAGTTTGTGGAAGCCTTTTGACTTGAATCCCATCCATGCTCCTTGAATTGAGCTCCAAAGTAGGCTTCCCAAAACAGTTTTATGCCTTAGCCTTTTCTGGCAGTTTTCCAGTTTTGAGGTAGCAACTTTGAGGCCTTGGAAAACAATCTTAATGACATCTTCTGGATCCACAAAGCATACCAATGGAAACATGGAAACTTTATCTTTAAAACAAGCTCTTGATCTCCAATTCCCATTGAGCCATTTGTGAGATACAAGCTTCCAAAGTAGGCTACCTGAAACTGTTTCAAGACTTGGCCAAAAATAAGAATTCTTCAAGTGAGTTGAGATGACTTCTTTGGTAAGCAATTGTGGATTGTGGATTGATCCAATTGGGATCATATCAGGTTCCTCCACCCTCACAATTAGCACATAGTTTCTTCCCCACTTCGCTCACAATTAGCCCAATCCCCATTCTCTTATAAGCTTTTGTTCGTCTCTCTGAAACCTTCAACACCACCATCCCCGACCTTTTATCAATCAAGAAGGGAATGCGTAAATCAATGAATTACCTTTTCCAGATGATGACTATCAAGGAAATATGTTAATGGTGAAAGTACTTCAAGTGATCCTGAGAATAATAATAATATTATTGCTCAAGCAAATAGACAAGGATTCTATGAGGATGTGAGTGAGGGTGACGGTAAGGATGATGATGTGTGAGGGATGTTAATGTTGATCCTAACGATCTTATGTGATTTTCTATTCTTAGCTATTAACTAGATTAAGTAATTCGTATGAGGTGCCAGGTTGCTTATTTGTGTGTTTATGTTATTTACAAGAATAAATCAATAAATTTATTTGCGTTATTATTACTAAAAGGAGTTTTAGCGTTCATTTTAATATGAACTTTAAAATCTTACGATTCCAATTTTACCTCAGTTTTTGATTTTACGTAAAATCTCAATTTTAACTGCGATTAACCAAACCTCGAGACGCTAGAGAAAACCTTCAGCCGTCACAATCTTGCTTGCAAAGACGCAATCGTTTGTGATCTTCCAGAAAGACTAATAGTTAACCTATAACTCCGAATTGGTGTGATGTTTTCGAATATACCGTTGTAGATAATCCAAGAAAAGTTCGGTGCTCAGAACATTGGATGTTTTGTAACCAAATTAACATGGAAAACGAATAATCTTGTAACACATGCATGACCATCTCTAAATGACAATTGCACGTCGAATAGATAAATTATCAATTTGATTCCATATAATATGTGTATTAAATGTGTTATACTGGTTTAACACGTAAAATATAAA